ACGTGACCGTCACTTAAGGGGGGACACTGGCTAGAGGTCAAACTTCTTAACTACTCAAGTGATCGGAATGAAATTTGCAGGGGAGATTTAGCTTCAGATGTAGGTGTACTGTGCAAAGTTTCACCTCTCTAGGGCAAACTTACATACCTGCATAAGATGATGTGTCACTCTTCATTAAGAAATATATGATATGCAAATGAACCTATTAAGCACTGTTTTGACTGCTTGGATATAAGGTGGGGAATATTGGACCTTGGGCTATATAGTTTTAATAACTTAAATGTAAATATTTCCGGAGGAATTATTACCTCAAAATGTGAGATGCATATCTGTCCTATGTCAATTTTTGAAAACTTAGTTTTTTATCACTGAGGACTTCAACTTAAAACAAAACAAAGTGGATAGCCCGATTCCCCCGTAAATTTCAGTTCAGAGACATCTTGATTGTGGTATCAGAATACTTTCACCTTCGAACAAAAGATTCCTTCGTATGAAATTTGCAGCAAAAAGTGGAACTGAGAAAAATGCATTTAAACATTGATCTCCTTTACTTTGTTACTGCCTCACAGGGTGTTGAAAATATTTTACATAAACGTAAATATTTGGCATATGGTTATCAGATTTGGTGTAAGGGTGTATAATTAAAGACTCAAAACGTCAAAATCAAAAAATGTATTCTTTCAAGAAAATTTTTAATTTACGCCCATGTCACCCCTTAAACATTCGCAAAGAAAAAAAGCGAGGAATCGCTTGCTGGGGATCGAACCCGGTACCATTTCACTGTGAACCTGATGCTGAACAAAAAGAAAGCAAGACTGAAGTTAATAGGAAGTTAATCGCGGTCTAAAAGAGGATTGACGATCACGCAGACGAAGCGGTCCTGTAATTTAGTCTTCGGCTGGTGTTCAGAGACACAAGACATATTCTACATCAGTACGCATGCCTTAACGACAATAGTGCAGGAAAAGTTGCCACACTTGACCAACTCTTTTGCGTGTGTGGTCCAGAGGTATACCTGATCGCTAATTAGACACATAATTTGAATCCTACGCCAAAAAGATTTGGACTTTCAATGGCTTCGTAATAATTATTTCATTTCATCGATACCATTCATTTATCTACATATGTTTGATTAATATCTACCAAACCCAATTCTCTTCAGCGTAGAATAATACTCCATTTCAACAAAGGTGTCAACAGGAAGCCATAGTTTATTCGCGCTCAGGAATCATGTTTACAATGATTGTTTGGATATTGAAAGACATGCCGAAACTTTCCTATTTATTCGAGTAAAATGACACCGCATAATTTATTTTATGTCCAAGTGAATTTTCAGGGAATGGAAAAGAAAGGAAAAGGGGGGGGGGGGCTTCAATGTGGGTGCCTATGGGCTCAAAGCACCCACCATTGCTTTCTTGAAAGATCTTGACCGGCCTCCGCTGTGGCCATGGTTCTCTTTGTAGTTGGGTGAAGATGAACTTGCATGACATCTGCACAGAAAATATCCAACACTTCACTACTCGCACAACTGGCCGAAACGAGAAGGTTGGAAAGAAGTTATTTATTCTGCACCACCATCACTTCCCCATGATTGCTATAATTCAAATAAACAAACCATAATAATAATAATAATAATAATAATAATAATAATAATAATAATAATCAGATCTACATACAATTTTTTTTTTTGAAACATGTTCTTTTTTTTTTTGTTGTTGGTCTTGCCTTTTTGTTTTGGTGCATGCAATACTAAATGGGTATAGATAAGCCCCTCAAAGGTAACTCACAATTATCTGATGAAAAACAAAAGGAATTCCTAATATAATAAAACAAAAAAAGCAACTTTATGAACAGCATTTTCCTGCTGTCCATAAAGTTGCTTTTTCTTCGTTGTTTTTTATATCAGAAATTCCTTTTGTTTTTCTTCAGATATTTGTTTGCAATTGAGGTGCACAACTGTACTTCCAACATGTTTACTCTGCTGCCAAACCTAAGACCCAGAAGAAAAAAAAGATTATAATCTCACTAACAAACTTGGAAAACAGATGCACAAGGGAGTAGAAATGGATAGAGAAAATAAGAACTGCTTCAAAAACCCCATGTGAAAATATTTCTGCCTGCTTAGCTTCAAACTCAGCACATTATTCGTGAAGGAAACCAGAAAAGAGAATGATAACCTGTTGTTTGCAGCTCGAGAGAGAAAGTATGTGTACCAGAACACGAAAAAACTAATTGACAACAAAGCCCCATATGTACAAGAACAGTCAAAGATATGAAAATGTAGACCAAGGTTTGTCTGAAATTTAAAAGCATTTCTACAAGCAGTTGCACAATACCACAAGCAGTTGTGATGACCAAGGTTAACCGCAGGTGAAGCAGTGACATTGTTCAGTGTATGACGTAAATGTAGCAAGATTAACACATGACCCAGCGAGAAAAACATGGGTCTCCTAATCCCAGGCAAGTTTTGTCACCATCCACTAGATCAGGGTCTCAAACACGCAGCCCGCGGGCCGCATGCGGCCCGCGACTTGTTGGGAAGCGGCCCGCAGGCACCGGGCTGCGAGTCACGCTTTCCATGTTTCGAGCACTAGGACTAACATGCGTCATAGTGATCTCACCTCGTTGATTCGTGCTCGCTCGAAAAGTAAAGCTGCTCTTTTAACATATTCCCATATTTTCTACTTATAAGTGTTCATTTGCCCTTTGTTTCACTTTATTTCTTGCTGCTCTGCTTTTTGTAATAGAATTCCGTTACTATATTCTGTTTCACCTTATGATGTACCGCAGAAGAGGCTACAAGCGCGAGCTCCTTGCTCTAGGGCAGATCAAGGCGGCACAAGCTCTCGTGCGTTAAGAGTAGCTCCCAACGCTATGAGCTCGCACTTCTAGCCTTGTCTGCGCTACAACATAAGGTGAAATGGAGTATTTGCGACTCCAACTAACTATAGGTGGCGCCACTCATTTTCCAAAATGGCGGTTATAGTGAAGGTTGGAGATGCGTGCCGGGGGGCTGTTGAGCCTGTCTAGTGTGCTGGCTTCACTGAGCGACACAAATTATTTCTGGTAATATCAGGAAGCTAGGCTGTTATGGGTGCAGGTCACCTCTTTACCCTGAAAACAAGATCGGCGTTTAGCCTAATATTTACGCAAAGATGCGCGTTTGAATTCTGGAGCGAAACCGAAACTAATCTCTATTTTCGATGCAATTTCTCGGTATAGCTTCTGTTTCGGATTTTTTCATACCTCAAGATGTGTCTCACATCGTAATTATTTAGTTACAGAGGTTGTTCGCCAAAACTTTATTTTGTGACATACATGTTTCAATCCAGGCTGATATTTGTAGTTGTTGAAAAAATCAGTGCTGAGATTTGTGCGTTCTCGCTGCCTTTTCTTGCTCAGATAACTGCCATGGGAAATAATGAACTGCGGCATTTTAACGAGTTTTTGGGTACTGAGATGATTAATTGATTTAACATTATTCCCAGCACAGGAATAAGAGAATAATTCCAATTTCTACAATATGTCCACAAACCGTATAAATTAATAAACGCCGTCCTTACTGCAACAACCCAAAGACGGAATCCGAGTCAGACAGCTGAAGTGTGTGTGTGTGTGTGTTTTATAGCAACGCGTGATGCATAGGACTTTATATTACATCCAGTGTTTGACTACTTGTCTATCTTGATACCTATGTCAGAGTTTTTCATATGCTAAAAAGAAAACAAAATTATACCTTTCTGGAAAGACTTTTGTGGTTAAATGGCGTATGTTCGTGATCTTGGCGTTAATTGGGGGCATACATTGCCGCCATTGGAATTAAAAATAATATAAAAATTCAGATATTGTAATACGTAAATTTTTCATGCGTTGCTTATGATATCATTTCAAACGCGCGACCAAATATGTCAACCAAAAGTGTGCTAATTATCATCACTGGTGCCAATTGCAGCATTTTTAATTACTAAGTAATAAAATATTAATAGCCCAAAGTCAATGAAAAGATTTTAGCTAATGTGAGAAATCCATGTAAAATTACATTAATTGTGGTTAAAGTACATTTTTCTATCAAAGTCGCGACTTTTGACATTCGACACAACGAAAGTCGCCGCCAATATCCTTCCTGACCAAATGCCCCAAAAATATTTTTTTTTAATTATTTTTCTTTTGTAACATTTAGTTACTTTCATTTTTACGCTCCGTCGTTGTGCCAATCTCAGCCTTTCCAGTTCGAAGGAACGCTTACTTGCTTGCACATCTGCTCACTGCAGCACGTTTCGTTGGCGCTGGTAGGCGGTGAAACAGTAGTGAATTTTAGTATTGCATATACGAGCAAACGCAAGTGCTGTGTGTTTGCGTTAGCTTTGCGTGTTCCACAGTGCGCGTGGGGGAGCCCAAAATTGTGGTCTTGGATGGCGCATGGCGATGAGGCGCACGCACAACGTGGGGCTTGCAGCTCTAACGCAAACACACACCGCTTGCGTTTAATTTTATGCGCATCACTAAAACTCTCCAGTAAGGTACAATCCCATACCGGCTGCTCCACTACGGTTGGACAGTGAAGAGTTTTGTTTGCATTAGAAAATGACATTTGGTGAGCCATGTTCGCGAGCGGTTCCGCCGTGCCCGTTGAGCAGGAGAATCGGAGGATCCTCACTAGAGCGCCCGTTTTCGCCGCAGGAGGGCGAGCATCGTGCTGGAGACGCGAATAGTCTGCCAGCGCGAGCTACTCGTTGAAGGATGCATGTCGGCTGCACAAATTCTCGCTTAGCAGGGGCAACTGCCAAAGCTAAAGCTATGAGCTCGGTATTCTCGCCTTCAAAAAATATTGACATTAAAAGACGAGTATTTGTTCAGGGTGTTATAATAAAAATTCTGAGAAATACAAGAACTGTCAAATTAACTGAAAGATTTTAAAGAAATGTTGAGGTGGGAAAGACAGAATACTCGCTATCTTGTTCTACTGTGCCATCACGTTGGCGGGGTGGTGTCATTTTAATTTTAGTTATCACATCAGGACAAAGCCCAAAGTATTCATAGAAACAAATACAATTCAGAGAGGTCGCTGGGAAAACTGCGAGTTTACAAAAATCGGATAGATCAGGAGGACTCTTCTCACTAAAATATTCTACCCCCCCCCCCCCCCCCTTGGCTTACATTGGCCCTCGACCTTACAGGTGTGGGCTATCTGGCCCCCACACTCAAATGAGTTTGAGACCACTGCACTAGATGCTCGAGGCGTTGAGCAGCACTTGCAGATATCGAGAGTCTTTGCGGCGAAAGCAGGTTCGAAAGCTGTGGAGACACAGCGGGAGCTTTGCCGCAAGTTCTCCTTAAGCTAGGGGAGTGCTCCACTTCTGTGGCGAAATAAAACTCATTCCAGAGAATAAATTTCATCAAAAGCCTTTTGTTGGGGAGCAAAACTACCCCCTCACAAGTCGGCAAGAGTGACCAAATGCATCAGGAGGCGTTCAAAGGAGAAGAGCGAAAAGATTTTCTCCTTTGTTCCCCACACGAAAGTGAACCCGAAAGATTGCTCTCTGCACTTGAAACTAGTGTATCGGAAACAATACGCCCAACCCGGATGCAGAACTCCACTAGCATGCTCTAGGTGCATCATGCCGCTTGCACAGATAAGGCGAGGGGGCAAGGTCCTACACACGCTCCATTCGAGCGATACCGGCAGTGACGCATTGACGAACACTCTAAGATTGGAGCGTCGAGTGCTGTACAAAATGGCCAATGTCACCGATTCAACTCCGGCAGCGGTGGAAGCGTTATAGATGTAACTCGCAGTCATTGCTTAAAAGCAAAAAATTTGTCGCTTTTGCTGCAAATTAAGAGTGGTACAACCACAGAGTATACAAAACATGTGGCTGTTTTCCATAGACTACCTGGAAGTGCAAAGTGCAAGTAGCAACAGAGAAGTTCCCAGCACTGGCCTGTTGTTTACGCTTATTTTTTGTCCTTTTTTTTAAACGATTAATCCGTAAAAATTGGCTCAGCTTTTGGCCTTTTTGAATGTTCTGGTTGGTCATGCACTGTGAGCCCGGATTGGACACGAGCGCCATCGTCTGCATTCGGACCATACTCGCAACGAAACGCGTTCCACACGAGTGCTGCGTCAGTGCTCGGCGCGCGGAGGCAATCAGGGCCTTCACGCCAGAAGCGATGAGACCAACTGATGGTGGCCGCACAAAATCTATGCATCATTTCACAATTTCAGAAAGGGTCTATTGCCCGTTTAAAATAAAAATAATTGCTATATGATCCTAAAAGGAAAATATGGTTAGGCAAGGGGTTATTCCAAATGAAAATAAATTAACGAATTAAACACACTAGAAAATTTGTTTATAAAAGTGAATTTGTAAAGGAAAAAAGAAAAAAAAGGAAATCCTGGTGAAACATTGGCCCGACTCAATCAGGCTGTTTGACACCTTTTCCCCTTGGTGAAGGGAAACGGTCTGCAAATGACTGCCCTTCTAATCAGTTCGACCTCTGCTTCCAGCAATTTCTGGCTCATTTATCTGTAAATGCACTTCCTCCACGCGACCGTGAACATGTAGAGATGCAACGATTCCGCGAATCCAACGAAGTTTGGTAAACCATATCGGTGAGGATTTTTTCCACGCGAACGACATCGCGATCAAGAAGTACTTTAGAATAAAAAGCCGAAAACATTGCATACATTAAGACACACTAAGCGATACGGGGAGATGAAGAGTCAACAACTCGAGTTGGAGCCAAGGTTTTCCGTCTATTCCTGCGCTGTCAAGGTCGGACCGCGAGGAAGTGCGTCGCGAGCCTCTCGTCGGGTTTAGTTATCGTAGCGCAGCTTCCGCATTGCCAGATATTCGCCGGTGAATCAAACGGCCTTGTACGACCTAGAAGTTTTGGCTAACATGACGTATCGTGCACTACGCAACCGGACGACAGGATTTCCAGTGCCGGAATTCCTGTTTGAATGCTTTGCCAGTGCAAACTGATTAATAAGGCCGGTGGAGTTAACATACGACCCCGATTAAAATCAGCAATAACGCTATGGCAGTATGGCAATAGTGCATTAACCCCCAAAACGTAGATGTAAACAAAATTGTTGAAAATGAGGTCGGTGGGATTTCTGTGAAACACGCGCAGTTGCAAATCGCGTCGTCGCAGAAAGAACGACCTGTAGGGCCCCTGGTGCCAATCCAGTACCGATCGAAATTAATGAGCACCTTTGTAGCGATCTAAGGAAACATGTAGACGAGAGCAAACGACGTACACAGGAAAGAACTTGGTCCAACGTTGCCTGTGAGCGCAGGCCGAGGCGGTCGCTCTTCGGATCATGTCGCTCCGTCGAGAAGGTAGCAACTTGTTGCACTCAGAACAACGGCATGATCAAAGTCGGTCGGCACGGCGATCCAGAGTCTGTAAGGGACTTCGGCCTACTTCTTGAACGGTGAAGCCGACGGCCACTCGAGTCCCGTTCGCCCCTGCAAATCGCACTCGCCAACGGCAGCCACAAGCAAAAAAGCAACACAGCCCAACAAATGCAGGTATGGCTAGACGCACGTTAGTAGTTGCGGCTAGATAAGCAACTGTACTTCTTGTTTTCGTTGTGGGCATTAGTTTGCGTCATCTTTTAGAAAATATTTAACCAAGTCGAATTATTTTGTTAAAATTAAAGCTATGGTTGAAATCATTAAACTCTATGACAAGTTTCTGGATCGCACATCCCACCTCGGTCGCTGCAGCGCAAGTACGGCCACCGGACGGCCATCTTGGAACACGGAAAGTCGACCTTTTCCAGTGTTGCCAGATGGTCCCACCAAAAAATCGCCAAACGGCTGGGAGGTATAGCCCAAATATAGCCAAAGCCATAAAATAAATATAGCCCAAAATAGCCAAGACTAAAAACAACGATTTTTAAGCCTTTTATTGACAATTTTTCATACGCGTAAAAAACAACACGTTACATTATCTTTTTCAACCCTCAGATGCGCCACGTTTTGTGTACATTTAATCCCCTGACAAAAAAAAAAAAAAAGTTTCAGGAGGATGAAAATTTGTGAAACGATGACCCATCCTTCGTAGGTTTTCAGAAGTAGAAAACATACATCGACAGCTGTATTGTAAAGCCCGGGAGATATGATCATACAGTAAAAGAACAGAATGCAGAAGCAGAACAGTCAGAACTGGGAGTTTCAAACCAGAACGCCCTATATCTAAGGTTCTTACCAATAACCCACCCGTCTATTTTTCTTTGTGTAGAATATGAGCGTCCCCCGTTCCGGTTCACGCTATTTTTGATCGTGCTTGTTTCCTTAAAATGGGCGATGCCTACAAATTTTCACAATGAGCACCAAAGCTGCGGTTGGAGAGTTCAGTCTACGTCCCGGTAGAAGACGCGCTACCAGGCCTGTGATAATAGTGCGATCTGTTTGTTTGATTTGTTCCACTGCGCTGTGGGGAGACCGCTTGAGCTCTGCTAGCACTGCTTCTCTGCGCATTGTGAAAACCCCGAAGTTTGTAGAAGTTTGAAACCATTCTCCTTCCTCTCCCTCCTCTCGACCAGCCAAAAGAGAAACAATTTTTTTTTTTTCGAGACTGATTAGAATTTTGAAAATTAACTAGTCGAACCTCAAAGTTCGACGTCGAACCCGAGGTTCGACAAGAGTTCGCCGCACCCTTAGGAATAGCCCAAAAATAGCCACATAGCCAACCACGAAATTTTGACGCCAACTAGAAAAAGATGTAGCCCAATTTGGCTATATATAGCCCAATCTGGCAACACTGACCTTTTCGAGCATTGCGGAAGCTGGGAGGAAATGTGGTAAAAACACGTTTTCTGCTCGTTCGTCGTCATTCGCCCAAGACGTTTTTTAAAACCTTGTGTAAGCGGTGAAAATTACCCTTGAGAAGACCTGAAATTTTTTTAAGAAAGTGCAGTACCGCAGGAAAAGGGCGCAACTGGTTAGACACAGGTTTCGTCCGTCTCGCGGCGTGATCAAAGCTTCCTCGGAACGCCCAGAGTTTCGTCAGACAGTTCCAGTAGGTTGTTTTAACTGTTCGTCCACATTCCATGGTCGGAAGATGGAAAACACAACTGCCACGCCATCGCACACTGCCCGTGCGGTTGTCTCCGATGCCTCCACCGTGCTTCGGTACGACGACGACGCTTGCCAATATTAGGATGGCGACGCTCTCAGCGTTGTCAGACCATCAAAATTTGCATCCAGTGAGAAAATCTTGAAACAGCCAAAAATAGAAGAGAGAGGGAAAGAAGCCATGGCAGTCGACATCTCAAACTCAGCTAATGCATGAGTTAGGAACTTGGTTAGAAAAAGGAAAACGCAAAGGAAGACAGAAAACATACAGGCAAAGTCTCAGTGTTGGAACTTGGACATGATGGTAAACCTGAGGCTACCATCATGTTCAACTTACACCAGCTCTCCTGCACTCTATTTTTGCAGCTAATTCATTTACTCAGTAAACCTTTTATACTTCGAAACCGAGGTTTAAGTTATGTTAGGATGTCAGTACCACTGTGGTCAGTACCCTTGGGGACTACCCTGTGCCCTTAGGGAATACAACTGATCACTGGGGAGTACCATCCCCGCTCGGAGTCTGGACATCTATTGTCCTCGGTGACCTCTCGCCGTACCTTCGCTCCTCCCAGACTCCTCCCATAGAACCACTGATCTCTATGACAATTGCTGGATCGCGCTTCCCCGCTTGTTCGCTGCAGCGCAAGTGAAGCCACCGGACTTCACTCGCTTGGGATACGTTTTGCCGTTTTTGCTAGCCTTTGTTGCGGTTTTCCAGCGTGCTGTAGACACGTTTTCTACTCGCTCGTCGTCATTCGCCGAGGAAGTTTTTTGAGACTCTGTGTATTGTTGAGACTTGCCGTTGTGAACACGTGGAAAATTTTACGAAAGTGCAGTGTCGCAGGAAAAAGTCACAACGCGTCGAAAGGAAGGGCTGGCGGCGTGTTCAAAGCTTCCTTGGCACGCCGAAGTGCCATGTCTCTGTGCCTTCGCACGCTTGGATACCGACCAAGAACTGACGCCGTGTGTATGTGTTTAGCGAGTGCAATGTGCGTGAAGCTGTTCGTGCCTCTGGATCAGCGTCTTTTCCCCTCGCGGTTTAGGAACGAGCTTAATCCAGCGTCCACTAGCGACGGAAGATGGGGGGAATTGGTACGTCTTTTTTTCGTCCTTAGACGATTTACACCATACCGTGCACAACAGCTCCTCATCACTGATCAGTGCTGGCTTATTATCAACCTACTTAATTGCACTTGACGTTTGAGCGCGGCTCGCCTAATTGTAATTGGTCAACAGATTGCACACGACCATATCGGCCGCGCTTCAAAGATTTTCATTCTCGCCGTCTTGTACTTTTGCTTTCGAAAACCCCCCTGGCTCCACAACGTTGCCCTAGTTGTGCTCCCACGGAATCTATTAGAGTAGATTTGGGACATAGCCATGGTTAGTATAGTACATAAGAACACGTACAGATCTCCCCCTTTTATTGATAGCAACTCACCGGAACAGCTGGACGATCCAGAACTCCGTGGCCGATATATATAAATGATCTAAAGGCATCTACGCGCGACACACGTTCATAACTTTGGCGCGGCGTCAATTCTTGACCGGTATCCAGGCGTGCGAAGGCACAAAGATGCATCACTCGGCGTGCCAAGGAAGCTTTGATCACGCCGCGACACCGGCGACACGTTTTCGACGAGTTGTACCTTTTGATACGGCTTCACGCACATTGCACTCGCTAAACACATTCACACGGCGTCGGTTCTTGGTCGGTATCCAATCGCGCGAAGGCACAGAGACACGGCACTTCGGCTTGCCAAGGAAGCTTTGAACACGCCGCCAGCCCTTCCTTTCGACGCGTTATGACTTTTTCCTGCGACACTGCACTTTCGTAAAATTTTCCACGTGTTCACAACGGCAAGTCTCAACAATACACAGAGTCTCAAAAAACTTCCTCGGCGAATGACGACGAGTGAGTAGAAAACGTGTCTACAGCACGCTGGAAAACCGCAGCAAAGGCTAGCAAAAACGGCAAATCGTATCCCAAGCGAGTGAAGTCTGGTGGCTTCACTTGCGGGAGCGGCAAGCGCGATCCAGCAATTGTCATTGAGATAAGTGCATAGAACTGACGTCAGGTCTAGCAACCAGCTAGCAACGGAAAACGCCACGAAAACGGCGCCGGCCTGTCCACCATCACCGATCCCAGGCCAACGCGCGTGCATGCAGGGCCGCATGGCATCCTGCGTACAGACCCTTAGTAGGCTTTCTGGTGAGAAAATGATCGGTTGTTGTGCAGTTGGATGTTCCAATCACAGCCGTCACGGTTTTCATTTTTTTTTTCTTTTTATAATTCTAAAAGAAAAAATACACGTCGCAAAATATGAGGTAAGAATGCTTGTTTCATCTTGAAACTTTTTTTATAAAATGGAGTTCTCGCCGCAGTATATCGACGAAAATTATTTTCAAGTTGATTTGTTTCCCTTCATACAAGAACCGAGGGAAGAGGGGGAAAGCAGTACAAAACCTGACTGGCAAAGCCCCCTGCTCTCCTACAGCAACAGCGGTAGCAACAGATTATTAATATAACAAAAACGATTGACACCAAAAGTCGTATAGCTTTCTGTGAAACACGTTCAATGCAAATACCCTGTGACGCAACAAAATTTAGCGCTGTTGGAAGCTGATACTTAATCATCTTATCTCCGTAGTTGGTTCTGGAGCGCGGGACCATCCAGACATCGGTATAGCGAATGGAATACATTTGAAATAAAACTGCTCTGTGTGTTATTTAGAGCTGTATTGTATGTTAGCGCAAGTTTGTAGTCGTAACATTTTGTTTTTTCAATAATTCCGAGGCTTAGCAACTAGCGAACTAGTTGCTGCACAAAGCTCGCATGTAATCTATAACTTGAATAATTCCAGCACGAGACAGGGTCGTCCCATCTGTGAATGCCTTATTCTCCAAACCGCGAAGTGAATTCATTTATTGTTGATGTCCTAATAAATAATATTTTTTCATGAAAAAGCTAGTTTTGTTGTCTTTCTATCTTCCACTTATTTTCATATAATGACATGACAATGGCTGTTGGGATCCCAGCGTCGTTAGGAACGGTCAAATAATTGAGTTAAATCTATTAAAATGAGCAAACTCACCATTCGCGAAGACCCGCCTGTCGCTGAGTCGCTCGATGTTTATTTCGTTCCGTTTTCAAATAGACGGCTCCAACGTTATGACTAACGTTAGTGCCGGCGCCGTCAGCAAACTCGCGCAACCTTAATTTTTTGTTTGATTTATTTCTTCGTAACGTTCCGGCTTCCTATATGTTCGGAAAACAAGATCGCTGTTTCATTGCTGAGAGAGTTCGGTGGAGGCACGCGGTAAGCACGCACGGTGTGGCCAACCCATATTCGGAGTAGCGATCGCTTCGAACAAGCCATCCCCTTAGAGTCATTGTCTCAGAAAGAGGAACTTGGCAAAAATCGGTGGCAATATTCCTTCAGGAGAGGCTAAATCTGCTAAAGAT